GTGCCAAGAGGAAGCGTGAGGAACTGAGCAACGTGCTGGCAGCCATGAGGAAGGCAGCTGCCAAGAAGGATTGAGCCCCTCTGGAATAAAGCTTTGCAGAAAGTTCAAAACAAAACAAAACAAAACAAAACAAAACAAAACAAAACAAAACAAAATGTGTACAATAGGGCCACCACTGATAGTGAGTACCATTAAACCAATAGCTAAGGCTAGTGGCTTATTATTTTGCTACACTGAAATTCCTCAGAAGCCAGCCCCCTCTGTCACCTTCTGAGACTATTACTAGACACAATGGGTCTGTGTCATTAGCTTTTTTTTTTTTTTTTGGTGTAACTGAGGATTGAACTCATGCCCTTGAGCTTGTCAGGGAAGCACTTATTCTACTGAGCCATCTCCCCAGCCCCTAGCTTTTTATCTTAATGATACAGATCTACTATGGGCTAAGATTATTTTTTAATGACAATTAGTAGTTTTTAATGGAAATTTTCTAAAGACTTTGTAATATCAACACAAATTGCATATGCTTTTACTCAGATCATTCCAATGTAAAAGGAATTTTTTAGGCATGATAGTATAGAAACTGGCATTAAAGGCTAAAATTAGAGTGATTTTTTTAATAGAATGACATTTTTAACATTTAAATGGAAGATACACATACTATAGCTCTTTACCCCTTTATAAGTGAATAGTTACTAATAACAAGGACATTGTTCTATATAACATCAAAGAATAGTAATAAATTCAAAACTTTTATCTAGTCTACCATCCATGCTCCAGTTTTATCAAATTGCTCAGTAACATTTTTATAGAATTTCTCCTTCCAGGACAGCTTTCTGCCAAGGGTCAAGTATTACATATTATACCCTTTAGCCTCCATTAATCTGAAATATTTCCACAACCTCTCTGTAACATTTTTAAGGACACTGTTCCTTACTTCTCCCTTTTAGAACTGGGATGCTATTCTTTTGAGTTTCCTTGGCATTTCCTTACTATTAGGTACACTGCATTTTTGCTGGACACCACATCAGTACTGATGTGGCTTTGTTGGGGGTCCAACATGGTGCCAGATGATACTCTTCAGATTCTCAGTGCCACCTTTAGCTTTGGTAACCTGTAAATAGATTATCTGGTCGAGCACCATCCAAAATATTCAGTACATTTTCATTCACAAATTAGTAAGTAATCTGTGACTTTTCTTTTTGAGACAGGGCTTTGCTATGTAGTTCAGTCTGGCCTTGAACTTCCAGTGATCTTCCTGCCTTAGCCTCCTGAGTGCTGGGATTAGGCATGCACCGCCACATTCAGCTGTGATATTTTAAAATGATGCGCATACCATACTCTTAATTAAAATTTCACCATCATTGGTAACTAAAAATGCTAATTCTTTACTATAACTAAAAATGTTAATTCTTTTTTCAATTCCAGCATCTAATCCATACTGTGCTACAAACAAAACCTTTCACTTCTTCTTTACAGAGCTCTCATCAATATAATTTCATTAACTCCTTTTGTTTTTGAATAGTTTACCATTTCTTCCTGTAATTGTTTTTGTGTATATAGTATATTGTCACAAATCTGGCAAGTAGAAGCTCCAAGGCATAATTTAATACTGTATAATTAAATTTTTTTCTCCTATGGGCAGGCAGAGAGGTCTAATAAACTTACACTGGGCACAGAGCAAAAACTTGAGTATGTTTAAATAAATGCCTGAGCGAATAAGCTATTTCAAGGGAAAAGTTCTTTGTCCTACTTTAGTTCTACTTGAGGAAATCATTTATGTGAGATTCTGCAAGTATGATAAAAATTGATCTAACAGATTAATCAAATCAAATTATATAAAATATGAAAAGAAACTACCTGCTTATTAAACAAGACATACATATGTATTTTAAATTTTATTTATTTTTGATTTTTGAGACAGGATCTCACAAGTATGTAGTTCAGGCTGGACTTTAACTCACTGCATAGCCCAGGCTGGACTCAAACTCACAGAAATAATCCTGCCTTAGTCTCCCACATCCTGGCATTAGAGGCATATGCCATCATACCCAGACAAGAAATATAATCTTAAATAGCTCTATGAAAATATGCTAATTTTAATTAAATTCATTACATCTTGCTCTTACAGTACACATCAAGTACAAGCAATGAATATAATACATATGCATTGTAAATTTCTACTTCATAATGAGTAATAAGTGATATGAATCACTGCAGCATATTTTTTGTATAGCTCTTCCATGAGCAATGCTTTTCTCATAAATCCATTACTGAATCTCCCTAGATCAAAGAAATTTAAGTATAAATCCTTTGGCTTTACCATTTACCTTGAAAGTTGTTTTTTTTTTCCGGAACTGGGGATTGAACTCAGGCCCTTGTGTTTGCCAGGCAAACATTGCCAGGCAAGCACTTATTCTACTGAGCCATCTCCCTGCCTGAAAGTAGTTCTTATGTAACAGAAGAGGGCAAGACTATTACTACAGATAATACAAACTCATGTAACATTCCTGGCAAACAGTGCCTACATTTATTTTATTT